CTACTACTACTACACTACACACACCACACACACACACACACACACACACACACACACACACACACACACACACACACACACACACACACACACACACACACACACACACACACACACACACACACACTGTATTGTGTATTCAATAGATACCCTATATATATATATATTGTATATCTTTCACTATTGGTATATATTGACTTTTTTGTTTAATTATTTTAGTTTTAATTAATGTGCATATTTAACCTAAATGCTGCTGTGACAAAATCATTTCCCAAATTTGGATCTATAACTGATATAATACTATTTTATCAGAGGAAATTATTGCAAAATCATAATTTTTTAACATTGACATTTTTTAAAGTCTTTCTTTCCTAAAAAATAACAAACAAACCATTTACAAATCCATTTTATATCCAATAATCACACACCTTAGAGATCATGGGATCGTAGTAGATACTGATGTCACTTCCCTCCTGGATGCCGCTGTCCACACGGACCTGATGGAGCGAGGAGAAGATGTTCAGAGGTGGTGTGGGAGAAAAAACCCACAAAGTACAGAATCTGAGGGAGGGTCTGAGGCTCCTCTGTTCAGCTCTAATGTGTCAGTAGGTTATGTTGAGTCTTCTTACATTGCTGAGGTTGAGGGGCTCTTGGTATTGAGACAGACGTCCAACGGAGGGGAGACCAAAAGACTTGTAGGGATCCTGAGAGAACAAACAAAAACAGATGAACCAATACAGCTTAGCAGAATGTTATGTAAACAACAAATGAACAGAAGAATGAACTTTCTTTAATCCTCATAACCCCAATTTTAGATTAAAAACATTGTCACATGTTTAAAAAAAATTCAAATATTACGACATATAGTAATTTCTCCTCAGAATCCACCCATACACCAGGATCATAACGTCTCACACTCACCTCGGCGTAGACACGGCTCTCGATGGCCCAGCCGTTGATTGGGATGTCTTCCTGTTTGTATTTCAGGTGGTAACCCTTAGCAACCCTGATCATCTGCTCCACCAGGTCCAGGCCAGTGATACACTCTGTGATTGGATGCTCCACCTGGGGTCAAAGGTTAAACAGAGGAGATTCAGGCATAATGTAATCTCTGTACTGTCTATACAATCCATGCCAAAAAAACATATATATATAAACATATCTGTCACTATTATTGTACATGAGTCAATTAATTAGTGTTGTGGAAAATATAGTGGCTTACAGTATCGTCTCTTTCACAGCAGTTCAATTGAACTGAATTGAAATGAGGAGCCCTGGTAACAGATGGAGTAACACACACACACACACACACACACACACACACACACACACACACACACACTAGGGCTGCAACAAACGACTAATTTGATAATCGATTAATCTATCGATTAATGAAACGATTAATCGATTATTCGGAACGTTAAGGTTTTAACTGTACTACTACTTATATCAATACTGCTTATCGATCCGGTCCTTTTAACGATAGTATTAACGGTTCTTTTGACAAGA